CGTCAATTCCTCCTTATTGTCTCGATCCACCAAATCATAATATCGATTTCTCACCCTTTCAAACAACTCATTCATCACTAATCGATTTTTTTCAGCAACTTTCTCAGTTTCTAAGTGAGGTTGGGGTATTTCCACTAAACCGCGTGACTGGTATACCTCCAATCCATTTTCCGCAAAGGTTTCCTAAAAATTTTTCCATACTTCAGGCGTCAGGATATCAATGTCACTACAAAGTTGCTTGTGAAAGATATGGCGACATGGTAGCATATAACGATTGAAAAAATTACAATCGCATTTCATAATCGTGAGTTGTGGTATTTCTTTACCCTTTTGTAATCTTTTAGAAACAGCGTGTACTTCTTCTGCAAGGAGTTTTTGGATGGGAAAGGGGAATTTATGGATTTCAGTGAGGACTTCTGAATTTATATTGGTAATGGAGATCGTTTTTGATCGAAAATTAGTGGCGACTTCTTTTGCTGTTACCATTTTTTTTTCATCAAGTTCGGAAATCATATAATACGCACCTGAAAAAATAATAATATAATAAGACACTAAAAAAAATGATGAGAAAATAAAATAAACGCAATTACCAATAAGACCATGTGTGATAGATGTTTTCATTTTTAATTCGCTATGAAATGATTCAAGTACGTTAGTCGAAGTTATTTGTAAGAGAAGTGGTGAATGTTGTTGTGTCCAAAGAGCCCACTTCTTCGAATTCCTCAAGTAGTTCCTGGAAATATATTTTGCATTTGCTTGTACAGGACAGTTGGTTATAACGTCCTGAACAAGATTTTTGCAGCCAATTTGAGTTGTTTTGTGCATTGCTCGAATCATTTTATTAAAAGTCAGACCATGATATATATTTTTCATCCACGTTCGCATCACGTGTACTGTACAAAGGATGACATCGCACTCTTACTCTCCTACGGAAAGACCGGGAAAAGTGATTACAATACCATTCACCTCTATACTGCTTTGGTCAAGCAACATATAACGTGGTCTCCAACGAGGAGCAAATTTTCTAATAATTTTTAGTGTCACTGAAACCACCTCACTATTCTCGTTACTGACTAAAAAATGTGCACCAACGTTTCAACTACCACAACCATCACGAATATAAAGAGTGAATAAACGCCAGTAATGTTTGTTTGTATTATGCGTCGAATCGATCAGTGTTAGCCATCTGTATTGTACGAGTTTTTTTAATTGCTCTGTATTTGCGAAACAAAGACCTTGATAGGATGATTTCTGAACAATAAACCATTCGACTTGATAATTTTTTTGAGTGAGAAACTTATCTGCATTCTGGATATCTGCATTTAGATTAGCATCTCCGATAAGATGCGAATTCATCGGACCTAAGAGTTTTAGTTTGATATTAGCGACCTCTTGAGTTTTCAAATATTCAACACCTGAAAACTCAAGTGATTTCGTGATTTCTTTTCGGACGGCATTGGCAATCATTGGAGGCTTATATTCCTTGACAGCTTCATTAGCTACCATATCTTTTATATATTTTGACCGTTTTCGCATATCGCTCTCATCAAGAGTGTGATTATGATCAGGAGTATCTTTAAACTTTTCAACGCGAACTTTCGTGAAGCCAGTTAACCAGGTTATCTTTATTCTTGCCTTGCAATTGATAGAAGATTGCTTCCAGATTGTACAAAGCTTTTCGGAGGAAACATCATCTTTACGGCCGCTTGATTGTTGTGATTTGGAAAGTCTACATACATATCCTTTCCATTCGTCGCTATTTAATAATTTGTTTCCGTTATATCTTGTCCAAATATTATTAATGAATATCCATTCTTTATTGAATTCTTCGAGAGAAAGTTCAAATGATTTATTTACATTAAAATAACGTTCACGGAAATTTGACATGAATGTAATAAAAACCTAATATTGTAGTGAGAGACATAGTTTTTAGTATATAGATCAAGTTAAGAAGAAGAAACGTAATTGAGGAAGAAACGTAATTGAAGAAGAAACATAACCGAGTTAAATATTAAGAGACGCATAATTTAATATTAAAAGTATTATATAAATAATACATAGGAATCTTGTTAAAGTATTGTTCCTTATAAGCATAATAACGTGAAAATAATGTAGAGAAGAATGCAAAGATAATGTTAAAAAGAAAGCAAAATTATATTTAATATAATTAACATCCAAAGGATGTTTTTCATACTTACAAAGAAGACAACGAAGACATATATCATATACTATGTGTATAATTTTGATTGGCTATGTTTGTTTGGAGTCATGTGATACTGATCTATTGTGGCGGGTCTGTGGCTAAACCGGCTAAACGGCTTGCCTTGCTTTAAGGAACCCCCCAATTTGGCTAAGTGAGTCATGAGATATTAATCCAATTCGAACAATAATATCACCATTCGATTCGTCAAGCCTTGACGAATCGAATGGTGTATTTTTGTCCGTGATTTATAGGATACAGTCAAAGCAAATCGCAAGCTCAATAAAAATCGTTATAATGAGCGCTAAATAAAAAATCATCGTTATATAGAGCTTGGATTGTATTACAGTCAAAACTCGATATACGATAGATTAGTATGTAAATATACTTTATTAGAAGTGATTTTGGGTTGTCATCGTTATATATATCGAGATTTTAATTAGTTATCGTTATAACAAGTACTTGAATTTTATATTAGTTCACTAGATCAAAATACATATTTCTAAAAATTGTTCGTAAAAAGCACCAACAGAAATTTGAGATGTGATTTTAAGGGATTTTGTATTCACCTGCAAATTTATTTGCTCGCTATGATCTTGATATTTACCTCATTGTTGAAAAAATTGTTACCAGAATGAATATAAAACTTTCAAGGGATATTAATATCCCGAATTGTTTAGTTTATCTAGTTGTAATTAGAGTAAAGTAAGTCAATAGTGAACTTTGCATTATATTTCTATAATTCATCATGAGGATCTAATGGTTCTTCAGATTGCTGTGATGATTCTCCATCCGCGTATAATTTGCTTGTAATTGGATTAACGACAGATTGTAATTCCTCTCGTTTCTCATCTAACTCTTCTTTTGTAGCGGAATGTCCGTGTTCATCGAACCAATCGATTGTCTTTTTAACTGCATCTTTAATTGTTGTCTTGTCTTCGTCATTTAATTTCTTGCCGAGATCTCCGTCATCTGCTACTTGAGCTTTTAATGAATATACAAATGATTCGAGTTGATTACGTGTTTCGATACGTTCACGTTGAATTCGATCTTCCTCGGCAAATTGTTCTGCTTCTTCGACCATACGATCAATTTCTTCTTTCGATAGACGACCTTTGTCGTTTGTGATTGTTATTGATTCTGATTTTCCAGTTGCTTTATCGGCCGCGGAAACTTTCATAATACCATTGGCATCCATTTCAAAAGTGACTTCGATTTGAGGCACACCACGTGGAGCTGGAGGAATTCCAGTCAATTCAAATTTGCCGAGTAAATTATTATCTTTTGTTAATGATCTTTCACCCTCGTAAACTTGAATAAGTACGATCTGTTGATTATCGACAGCAGTTGAGAAAATTTGTGATTTTTTGGTAGGAATTACAGTATTACGTGGAATCAATTTGGTCATTACACCGCCAGTTGTTTCGATACCCAAAGTCAATGGACAGACATCAACCAACAAAACTTCCGAAACATTATCATCACCACTAAGAATTCCACCTTGAACTGCGGCACCATAAGCAACAGCTTCATCAGGATTAATGTTCTTTGACGCTTTCTTTCCGTTAAAAAATTCCTCGAGAAGTTGTTGTACTTTGGGAATACGAGTTGATCCACCAACCAATACGATATCTTGAACATCCTCTTTTTGGACACCAGCATCTTTTAATACTTGTTCTACTGGTTTCAGTGTTTTACGGAATAAATCATTATTAAGTTCCTCGAATTTGGCACGAGTCAAAGTTTCCGAGAAATCTTTTCCGTTGTGGAATGACTCGATTTCAATACGAGTTGACATTTGTTGTGATAATGTTCGCTTAGCCTTTTCAACTTCCCGCTTCAATTTCCCGACAGCTTTTAATTCTTTGCTTACGTCAACTTTAGTTTTCTTCTTGTGGAGCTTAACAAAGTAATCAATTACACGATTATCGAAATCTTCTCCACCCAAATGAGTATCACCTGCCGTTGCCAATACTTCAAATACTCCATCTTCAATAGATAGTAAAGACACATCGAAAGTACCACCACCAAGATCATAAACAAGAATTTGCCTTTCAGTTCCTGTTTTATCAAGACCATAAGCAATAGCTGCTGCGGTTGGTTCATTAACAATACGCATTACATTTAATCCTGCAATCACACCGGCATCTTTGGTAGCTTGACGTTGAGCATCGTTAAAGTAAGCAGGCACCGTTACAACAGCATTCGTGACTTTTTTCCCGAGATATGATTCTGCGATTTCTTTCATTTTACCAAGTACCATTGCTGATATTTCCTCGGGTGTGAATGTCTTCTCTTCGCCTTTCACTTTTACTTGGATCACTGGCTTATCGTCTTTATTGATAACTTTGAATGGGAAATGTTTTATGTCATTTTGCACGTCCCTATCACCGAATCGTCGACCAATTAATCGCTTTGCGTCAAATATTGTATTCTCTGGATTTGAGGGTGCTTGATTTTTGGCCGCATCTCCCACTAATCGCTCTTCGTCAGTGAACGCGACGTAGGATGGTGTGATACGATTACCTTGGTCATTGGCTAGAATTTCAACTCGCCCATTAACATGAACTCCAACACATGAATATGTTGTACCTAAATCAATGCCAATGACTGGAAAAATTTCATTAATTTCAATTTTTGGTTTTAATGATTTTGGCTTCTTGTAAAGTTGGTCATCCATTCATTAAACTCACCTGTACCAACATTTGCTTTCTCTTCGGTTTCAGTTTCTTCAGCCCATATCGAGTTTGGGAAAGCAAACAGTGTTATTATAATAAATATAGTTAAATATATAAAAGATGTGAATTTCTTCATTTTTTTCTCCATTGTAATAAAAATATCCAAAAAGTGGATTAATCCCACTATATAGCAGGGTTTTATATTATACAATTACGAAATCGATACACGTTGTTTTTTGCATAAAAGTTTTGGGCAGAAAGAATAAATAATTTGTTAGGCAGTTCTTATTGGTTGAAATATCGTGGCAACAATTGATTGCTTAACAATTTAAATTAAAGAACCATCGAGAAAATTCTTCGGAATTTCTAGAATGATAAAGTTGTCTTTTGTATTACTATTTAAATTTTACAGCTTTACGCTTATGATTTTTTTGATTACTATCATACTCTGATCTCTTGGTTACTTTCTTATCTTTTACAGTTTTTGATTTTTTGGCTTTTGCGTCTTTAATCTTTTTTGATCTTTCTTTTGAATTTTCTAAAGCCTTTTTAATTTGATCCGTAGTAACTTTGATCGCACTTTTCTGTAACTCCAATTTCAATTTAGCTTTTTTCGTACGATCCAATTCCTTTTGAATATTTGTTCTCTTCCATCGCAAAACTTCTCGTGCTCTTTCTAACCCGTTCACCAAAAACAGCAAATCACGCCGTAATTTATCGATTCCTGCACGTGAACGTGAAGAGACCATTATTGGTGTCTCTATTGCATAGCGATAGTTTTTGAGCTCTTCCTTGATTAGTTGATATCGTCGTGCGATATCTTTTGAGAGTACCAGATCACATTTCGTTAGCACCAGTTGGAATTTGGTTCTTGATCTGAGAAAAAAAATTAATGAGTTACACAAGTTTATTTATCAATACGATCTTGTATGATAAAGAGAAATGAACCCAACTTTTCTACCATCATCAAGAATTCTTTGTCCGCCATCTTTATGCCTTTCCCATGTTAAATTAATTGTCGTGAAATTACAATCACATCAGAGTCGTGTATAATAAATAGATTAACAAGAAACGTAGATGTCTACCATGTCGTGCATCTAAAAGTACGTAAAGTCTTTTGAGAGATTTCCTGGAGGATATATATGTCTCGATCTAAAGATTAATGGATATCAATAATTAAAGTATTATCATTTTATTATTCACATTATTATGTAAATTTACCAGCTCTTTCCAATTTAATCGAATTTTCTCATCCGCATACGCGAATCCATAACCTGGCATATCCACAAGATTAAAAATATTCCCTGCGGCATAAAAATTGATTTGTTGTGTGAGACCAGGTTTATCTGAAGTACGTGCGGTCGTGGTGTCTCCAAGCGCATTTATTAAAGAAGATTTGCCGACATTTGAACGTCCTATATAAAAGTTTTAAGTTAAATACTCGACAATTTCGAATTACACGTAAAAAATTAACTTACCAACAAATGCTAATTCTGGTACATCTTCTTTAGGAAAAGAAGAAGGAACTTGTGCTCCAGCAAAGAATGATAACCTCGGAAGCTTTCAATTTCACGAAAAATATCATGTAACAATTTGTTTATTTGCAAAAGATTTGAAAAACGATAAGTTCAACCAACTTCTAATCCTTCTATGTCCTCTTCGGTATTCGTTTCTTTACTGAGTTCTTCAAATTTTTTCTTTTTGACAAGAAAAACTTTTCGCCCATATTTTCCTTTAATATAATGCCGTCGAGCCAACCCAAGTTTCTCAATTTCTACCAGGGTAGATAACTTTGGTTCAACTTGCTTAAACTTTTGTCTATTAGATATGTTAGGTCGCCGAGAAATTTGAGGAATACTATTCTTCCTACTGCTGTTGTTGTTATTGTTATTAGTGTTATTTTGTGCTTTGTTTCGAGTACCTACAATGACTTTACTGTGCACAAGTAGTCGTTGCTGTTGAAAGAAAGGTGACGAGTTGTATAAGTAAAAAGAAGTGTTATTCGTAAGTCGTTTTGACAAATAAAGATAAGTGGAGACTATTTGTTTGTTGTTATTATTGAACACCATTAACACCATCGCGAGAAAATGAAATTATTACAGATTTAGGAATTTTGTGTTCGTCATACAAGACGCCTAATCCGATATCGATATATACTAAATGGCACTTGGAAAAAAAATGTTTCTTGCGAAATTTTACATATAACCCTAAACCTAAAATGTGAAATGTGTACCTGATCTGATATGCTTAACGTTAATATGTAGCTCGAGATTTGTTGATTGATAATCTTATTAATGGTAGGTCCAGAATTTAATACACTCATCATCTATTTTATACTTTAAAAATTCATCATGCCCATCGTATCTGTTAAAGCTCGTCGAATTTTCGATTCTCGAGGCAATCCAACTGTAGAAGTAGATTTAACAACCGGACACGGTAAAATAGAATTCTAGAAAATAGTTCTCCACTACTCATACTTAACGTATTTATTAAAGTTGTACCATTTACTCCTATCAAAGGTCTTTTCCGAGCTGCTGTTCCTTCTGGAGCTTCGACAGGAGTTCACGAAGCATTAGAATTGCGCGATAACAATAAAGCTGAATATGTTGGAAAAGGTTTATATACCTAAAAAGTTACAATTGCTGTGTAATTAAATATGTTGGCTTATTGATATAATTAATAACCGTTATTTAATTTTACAATTATCGATTAGATGTTTCAAAAGCCGTTTCGAACGTTAATAATATAATTGCTGGAAAGCTTATCGAAGCAAACCTTGATGTTAAAGATCAAAAAGCTGTTGATGATTTTCTCTTGAAGTTGGACGGAACAAAGAACAAGTCAAAGCTTGGTGCCAATGCAATTCTTGGAGTATCTTTAGCCGTTGCAAAAGCTGGTGCTGCCGAAAAGGTAACTGTCTTTTGATTGTATTTGTAAAATGCCAACATATAATAATTTAAATGAATATTATGATGATTATTGTTAGGGAGTTCCTCTCTATAAACACATTTCAGACCTCGCCGGAAGCAAAGAGCCATTCGTTCTTCCAGTTCCTGCTTTTAATGTCATCAATGGCGGTTCCCACGCGGGGAATAAACTTGCAATGCAAGAATTTATGATTCTTCCAACCGGCGCAAAATCATTTACCGAAGCAATGAAAATCGGCTCTGAAGTATATCACGCACTCAAGTCTGTAATCAAATCAAAATACGGACAAGACGCCACAAATGTAGGTGATGAAGGAGGATTCGCTCCAAACATTCAAGATAACAAGGAAGGCCTTGAACTACTTAAAGAAGCAATTGCAAAAGCGGGTTACACCGATAAAATAAAAATTGGAATGGACGTTGCCGCTTCTGAATTTTACAAGGAAGGAAAATACGACCTTGACTTCAAAAATCCAAATTCAGATCCGTCAAAATGGTTAACAGGACCTCAGTTAGCTGAATTGTATGGCGAGTTTATCAAAGACTATCCAATAGTATCAATCGAGGATCCTTTTGATCAAGATGACTGGGAAGCGTGGAGTCATCTCAATTCCACAGCCAACATCCAAATTGTTGGTGATGATTTGACCGTAACTAATCCTGAAAGAATTCAAACCGCCATTCAAAAGAAGGCTTGCAATGCATTGTTATTAAAGGTTAATCAAATTGGTACTGTAAGCGAATCAATTGAAGCGTGAGTATCTATATTTTTGTCATCTGTCTATCCTATATATAATTTTAATTATTTTCACATTTTAATTTTACAGGGCTAAATTATCTCAGAATGATGGCTGGGGTGTGATGGTCTCTCATCGTTCTGGCGAAACAGAAGACACTACAATCGCCGACTTAGTTGTCGGTCTTCGCACTGGCCAAATCAAAACCGGTGCACCTTGTAGATCAGAAAGATTAGCAAAATATAATCAGTTATTACGTATCGAGGAAGAGTTAGGCAGCAAGGCGATTTATGCGGGTGAAAATTTCAGACACGCGCATGCTTTATAATGTATTTATATTATCCTGTGATGCGTCACGCGTCAATTGGTTATTTAACATGTGATTTTTAATTTATATGCAATAAAATATGATTAAAGTAATTTATTTAGAGTATTGTTACTTTGATCACGTGAGCACGTGTTTCGGATTTGATTATTTTAATCCGACCGAACCGGCCCACTCTAATCACGTGGAGGGGGGTGACAATAACAATACTACTCTATTTATTTATTCTTGATTTATATTTTATATGTATATGTGGTGTAAAAATAATGATAGTAATAATAATGACAATCGAAAAAGGAAACTGAAAACAGGATTGGGAAGATTGATTTGCACTATACGTATAATTATATTATATGCATGTTATGCACCAATTTTTTTCTCCACTATAAATAATCACTATAATATATATATATATATATAAAATAGAGTGACAAGCATATGAATAAGAAAGGGAAATTCTTAGTTTTGATATAAAAGAAGAAATAATAATACTATGATTTTAGATGCGCGTTTTTAGTAATAGATAAATGATAATAAATAAATAGAGAAATAATTTTACATATAAAAAATAAATGTTTATACAAAAAAAAATTAATTATTCAATCACGGGAATTAATAAATAATAAAAAAGTGATGACGATGATGATGATGATGACGACGACGACGACGACGACGACGATGATGATGATGATGATGATGATGATGATGATGATGATGATGATGATGATGATGATGATGATGATGATGATGATGATAATTGTTTGTTTGAAATATAACATCTAGAATCCATTCTTACTTGCAATAATAATAGTAATATTATTACTATTGTTGCTGTTTGCTGCTGCTACTGTAAAACTGAAGCGAGAATGGATTCCGGGCATTATTTCATAAGAAGCCAGACTCTTGTAACAATCGTGCAATTTTTTCGTCCTCACGTTCCCGTGGTTCCATATTTAGGCTTAGTTCATATAATTCGCTGACATCACGACTATCCTGTAAATGACTCTTTATGAATATTTGAATTTCTTGCACCGCTTTCAAAAAGTATGGAACTGACTGGTATTGTTGGATTTCGCGAATGACTTCGGCGGTTTTCATACGCTTTGAAAAGTTTATTAGAGCTCGACCCTTTTTTAATGTGTCTGGATTACCGTCTTCAATAAATGTCAGATCGGTCAAATATACGCCTAAAAGTAGTTCATATATATTGATTAATAATGAACGTGAAGTAATTTGTTAAACTACAAATATGAAAATACGATTAATAATAATGATGCTAACCTAGAAATGGTACACAAGGTGGATTTACACTATGCAACATTTCCCGATAATCCGAAAAATTTTTCGTTGAATTCATGATTCGATTCAACACTTCTAAAGTTTGCATTGTTCTTTGATTCACCATCTCCCAAGTGCGCTTGAGACGATGAATCGGTGCTGAATTGAGACCAGATATAATGGCAGTCAAAGAGTTAAAGTTATTTAGAACACGACATTTATCTGCTATTGTGACAAAATGTTTTATTAGTGCACATCGTTTCCTGACTTCTGGTTGATTCAAGATCGATTCAGCTACCCATCCAGTGATCTAATCAATAAAAAAATCGATTATTTAACCAAATTTTATCATGCTGCTAATATTGATGTGATTACAATTGCATTCATTCATTAGCTACCTGATTACTATTAACAATCATCGCCTTAATATTTTCAGCTATTTCACCTTCATCACCTTCCTCTTTACTTTCTTTACTCCATGCTTTATTCAGACACTCAACGGGGCGTATTTTGTTGTATAATTTACTTTCGATAATTGTTAATTGTCGGGCAATCTCTAATGGATCTAAATCCAAGAATTTCAGTTTTTTCATGTTCTTTGGTAGAATTGAGGCTGGCGGTGATCCAGGATTGGTAAGAACCATATCTCTGAAATCTCTGAAATTGGCATCTTTTGGTTGTTTTTGCTAAATCGTGTTGAATTGAAGATTTAACAATTGGTATAAACTCAATATTAATAAATTAATTACATGTTTACATACCCTTCTTTCAATTACTTTAATCAAACTAACGGCAGCAAATGCCATATGTTCATGCATAATTTTTTGAGCGAAATCACGCATCCGTTCCAGGCAATGAGAATCCTGATCATCGATATAGTAATTTTCCAGCCAACTCTTCATAATGTTAAAGACTCTTAATCGAATTGGAGTTTGTTTTTTCTCTTGCCAGATTTCAATTTCTTCAGGAGATAAATTATCGGGCGGTTGAATCATAAATCTTTTCACTAATAGATTAAAGAATTCATCGGTCGACGTGAATGATCGATAAGTTAATAAAAATGTAGCGATGAAATTCGAGTCTAATAAATCATGCATTGTTAATCGTTCCCCTAAAGCAGCCAAAGTGCCACCTTTAACATGTTGTTCCATATTAAATACTAGGTCATCTTGTTGATAATCATAACCTAAGAACCAAGGTTTGTCTTCACGCTGTCGAGAAACATGAACAGAAGATGGAATACTGTCTTCCCCGAAAAATTTTTGAGCTTTTTCTCTTGGAGATCGTGCTCCTAATGTTCCTGTTCTTGAAGTACCAGATACCGAATTTGAAGGTGAAGATGGACGTGGTTGAGTATGTGATCGATGAAGTGATGGATCTACTTGATTATTATTATCATTACTACTACTATTAGCATTGCTATTATTAGTATCATTTATATCGAATGTATTTGAAGATAATATATTATCCGATAGAATTCGATTATTTCCTCCAGCATAAGAATCTTCTGATAGAGGTGAAGCAAGCTCATCAAAGTCACCATTATTATCACCAATATTATTATTTGATGGTTGATTAATTACACCATTCTCAGGTACAGTTTCTAAGCCTGCAACATAGTCTGGTTCTAAGTCATCACACAGATCTTCCGTTGATGGCAATGGTCCACTAGTTTCATGCATATTTGTTGAAGCATTAATATTATTGTAATGATTATTACTGTTATTGGTTATAAATGTTGATGAAGTAGTTGAGGTAGTTGCATCACTACTTCTTTTCATACTAACTTGCATACGTCTTTGATCTTGTGCATCTTTTTCTTCCACTAAAAATTTCGTGGCAATAATAACATCCTTTACAGATTTATCGACCAGATTTGTCAAAGCTAAAACTTGTTCCATGGCATTATGAGGAGCAGATGGATCGGTGGCATGTTGAGTGCACATGACTAATCCAGCAATACTATTATATAACGCTTGTTTAGCAACTTTAAATTCCTTAATTGAGCTTTGACTTGTCTCATCTAAATCTTCGAGATTAATGTCTTCAATTAAAGACAAAAATTGTCCAGCTTGTGTCACAACTTGACGTGTTTGTGCAATTAATTGAGGAGCGAATGCAGCGTTACTTGCAATTGCGCCTCGGGGTGCATCCATTGTTTTACGAATATGATTCAGTAATAATGTTATTGCTTTCGCAACTGTTCTCGATATATGATCGAGTGATGCAAGTAAATCTGGTGTTAATGATCGAGTAGGTCCAGAATTACGATTATTATTATTTTGATTTTGATGTTGTTGGTGATGTGTTCCGTTCGTCAAATCTCCTTTATTCTCATCATCACCATCAACAACACCGTTATGATGTTTTCCATTTGTTACTATTGTATTACTATTATGATTATTAAGATAATTAGGAGGTAAATTATTACCACGCCAAGCGCCACCATTTGCACTTTCTAATATCTGAGGATCAACACGTTTTATTTCGACAGTATGTTCGGCAGCTTGTACGAATTGTCTTACTGCAACTAAAACTTCATCAGCATCATTTTTCATTTTTTGAGCTGCATCGGGTGGTGGCCAAACACCCGAAGCAACTTTCGTAGATAATACTAATTTAGATAACGAAGCCATAATGTGTCGATGATGTATTTTAAGCGTACGATTTTGTCTTATTGCTGGTGATTCTTTTTCAACCGTTCCAGAAGCATATAACATAATTCGTATACTTTCAACTATAGAATTTGTGCAAGATGTGTAATTGTATTTTTGATTTTCTTTCGCTGCTAGATTTAATTGATGAATTGACATTATTATCTTATTTGACAAAGTCTCCCATGTCAGCGTATCGTTATATGAAGGTGAGGGTGGCTGATTCATATCATCGTGCTGCTGCCGTTGTTGTTGTTGCTGCTGCTGCTGCTGTTGCTGTTGTTGTTGAAGAAATTGTATCATATGTAAATGATAATTTGCAGGTGTTGTATGATTTGTTGATGGTGGTATTGATCCAACAATTTTAGACGATGTTGAAAATTTACGTCTTTGTGGTGACGGTGGTAATGCGACCATTGGTTGAATATGTGATTTATTTATTTGATTATCAATGATATCACCATTTTTAAGAATATTATTTTCAATATGATTATTGTTGTCGTATTCACCGTAATCTCTTGCGAGTAATTGACCAGTATCCATATCAACATTCTCTAAACTCCATGTTGTCTCATCAGTCAACTTATTGAAATAGTAAACTCGACCTTGTGTTGTAACTTTTGAGCCCCAATTTGGTGGCAATTGAATTTCATTGCCATTTGGATCTTTTTTGAGATGATGAAATGCGTCAAATGTACTAATACTCAATCGACTTCCTTTTGAACTTGCAATACTTTCTTTATCGTTTTCATCTTCATTATCTTCCTCTTCTTGTTCTTGTTTGTGTTGTTCAACTGTTAATGAATTTGTTCGATGGTGCTGATGATGATGATGATTTATATTATTACTATTACTATGATTCATTAGTTCGTCTGCTTCTTCATCTTCGTCGTCATCTTTAATTTCTCCAATATCATCCGAATTACTTGATAATGATTCGGTTGCTATGTCGTTACTAGTTATCGAATTTGACGCGCCATTAATTGTTAGAGGATTCTCATTATAATCCATATTATTAATATTATCGTCACTACTTCCTAATATTGCACCTCCGCTGCCTCCGCCTCCCGGATACGTCCATCGAATTTCTTGTGTTTTAGTATTTAAATAATAATATGTAGTTCCATCATCTGTTGGTTGCTGTATCCAATCTTCTGGTAATTGTCTCGGCGGTCTTAATGAACTGATGGATCCTGAACGAGGTGAATCAGCTGCACGATGTACATAACTATGATGATTATTTGTACTACTACCACCGTGCACTGATGAATTATCGCGCGTAGTTGATCGTGTTGTCGTAACTGACTCATTATCATCCGCTGGTAAATCCCATGTTGATTCCTGAGTCCTTACATTAAAATAAAATATTTCTCCATCTGGAGTCTCTTGAGTTATCCAATCAGCCTATAAGTGTTGATTAAATTAATTAATGGATTTTTATTAGCATATATATATATTTCTAATTGAATATATATGCGCATATAAAGCTAGAGAAAAAAAATTTACTCCAAAAATACTGATTTTTACTACATGCCCAGTCTTTAATAAATTCTTTATTCGCTTCACCCTTTCCTTAATACTCTACCTGATGTTCATCATCGTCGTCAACTTCATAAGTAGTCACATAGTTACTTGGAAACCATCCGCGCTCACCATTACAAAATCCGTCCCACCAGCCGGACTCCAACTGTGTTAATACTTGAATTATGTCATTTTTACGAAAGGAAAGGCTGGACGAGTCGGACGAGTTGAAGTCATAGAGTGCACGTACCAAAGTCGTGCTCATGTTCTTTATGTAGAGAATGAAACTATTATTATTATTATTATGAGGTAAATTTGTTATTGTTATTATTACTACTACTATTATTAATTATTATTATTATTTATTACTACTATTACTACTATTACTATTATTATTATTATTATTATTATTATTACTATTATTATTATTTCACCACCATAGATTTTTTTGATATGTTGGAAATGGAAATAAATATATAGAAAAAGATGAACAAAGAAAGGGAAAAAAACTAATCAATAATAATAATTATTCAAAACGAAAAGGAAATAAATAATATAAAAGGTAAATATATATTTTATTTATTTTTATTTGTTGTGCGAGTTGTTTATTATTATTATTGTATCTATTATTGTTGTGTATATTAATTCGTTAGAACGTGTTATGTTAGAAAATGACTGAATGTAATAGCAGTTTTATCGACTATTATTTTGCACTTTCTTGCACCTCTTCACTTTTAATCTCTTTGAATTGAGACCAGCAAAGAAGTTAATACTGTTATTAAGGTTAATAAAGTCAAGGATCTGTAAAAAAAGATAAAGGTAGTGTATTGTACGCATATACATGCATATGTGTGTATATGTGTGTGTGTGTGTTCTGGGGCCAAATAGATAAATAATCCCAGAAAAGAATCAAATAGAAGGTCTAGCACTATATAGTGTCGGTCGGATTTGAGTAGCATTCATGAACTAATTGCTACTCTTTGCGGGTTATGATTATCTGTTTCTTATTGTGTTATAGCTTTGTGGGTTTCATTAATATTAATCGTTAGACATGCAATATCGATTTATTTAGAATAAATGAAAAAAATTAATATTATCAGCAAAATATAATAATATTAATAATAACAATAATGACGATGAAACTTTTCACATATTATCCAACACACTAGCAACACAAACAAAAAATAATCACAAGTAAACTAAAAATCATTGTTCCGTCAAGGCGGGAAACTTTATTTTTATATGGCTGGTATTATGTTAATGATCAGCGTTATTTATCAGGCCAGTATCGCATTGCATTATCAAAGTTATCTTGACTTCCCAATTTGGTAATTTTGGTTGGAGTTAAATCGGTTGTATATCGATATGGTGATTTTTTCATCAAGTTTCCCACGTGCTCTCATATGATCGATGTATTCAGGATATTACGATAATGAACTCTAAATTTTTTATGAATTCGTTAGTTAGAAATGATTAAGGAGATTGTTGAGATTGTTCAGGTTTTTATTTTCTTTTTGCGTCATCTTTTTGTAGATTTGCATCTGAGAGGTGGCTCTTGCTACACCTTTTAATTATGGTTTCTGCCGCTGTGATGAAAGATGGTGATTCTGAAAGGCTGGCAGGTTCTTTTATATCGTAAAAATATGATCTCCAACATGAAAGTTTATAGAAAGCTAACAAACAATAAAGTACCATTGGAAGGACCAGCACTTTAAAGAAGCTTGTATTACAATTGTATGCATCTAAGTAAAGATTCGATTCATAATAGAATTTGAATGGTAAAAAGATGCGTCTTTTCTTGATTAGAAGCTAAAATTCAAAATTCGCTCTTTATCGCTAGCATCTCACTCTGTTTCTTTCGCGTCTTTTTCAAAAACGTAGCAAATTTAGTTTGATCTTTTCTTTAGGTACTAGATTGAAATTATTTAAGATTTTTTGGAGTCGTTAAAGCAAGATGCAGTATTTTTTCAAAATTGAATGATGGCTGTTAAGCACGTTTCCTTTCTGAGTACTGTTTTTACCGTGTTCTATGTCTTTTTTTGGAGTTTGTTTTGAACCACGTGTTCTTTTATATTTCCGACGCGTTGTTAAGTGGTTTATTTCATTTTCTATTGTTGAATGTACATCAGGGATTAAAGAATATGACCTCAAAAATTAAGTAATTATTTTATTACTTAAACATACTACAATTAGTATTAACAAATGTATTACTGTGAATGCATTGACTTATAAAATCAATCAACAATAATATACTAATCACTTGAAATATACAAATCAGTTGTCTTATCTGAGATCAAATTTCCGGACTATAAATTAAATCTAACGCGTTTTTCCGTTCGAGTATTTAATTTTTCATCAATGCTATCGATTCTTTGAATTTCATTTTTTTCATCTACCACTTCTTCAACATGTTCTTGCGATATTTTCGATCTCATTTGTCCCAAATTTACTTTTCGTAATTTCTTTTTCTCCCTTTTTTTATTCTTTAACTGGACTTTCATCTTCTCGATCATTTCTTTCCGTGTCGTCATCATCATAATCACGGACATCATATTTGACCTACTCACTTCAATTAATGTTTTCTTTTTTTCCTGAATATTATTTTGATGTTCTTTTTTGTCCTCCTGCTGATTTAAAATAACGGCTCGAGATCGGTTCAATTTTTTTTCAACGATTGCCTCTTCTTTGTCGTTTAAATCATCAATAATATTACGCATGGTAGAAACATTCGTAATGAAGTTGTGTCCTCTTTTAAGTACATCAGGCCTTTTATGTGGTGGCGGTTGTTGGCTTGCTTTTATTAAATCTTTATCGACGGTGACTATTGATTGCCTTTTATTGGGTATTTTTCGTATTTTTATTTTCTGATTATGAAAATAGAAAATAATAAATATAAAGTAATAAGAAAAATTCTTTGTTTTTGATTTTTACCTTATCCACACTTTTCTTCTTCTTGTAACCATTGCTTTTTTTGCGTGTAATCATAGCGATAACCGATAATTTGTAAAATTTACTTACTGATCTATTTATCAAATCTACTTAGTGGAAGTGCACACTGTTTATTATATTCGTGTGCAGCATTCAGTTTTGTATTTTTTCTCATTATCATTATTGCTTTCATACAATACCAAAATTACAGAGACATGGCATTCCCCACACCTCAAACACCTCCAACACCTTCACCAGTAGTTTTTAACACTGCCTCACTCAAGGTGAAGCCACTTCCTTTTGCAGGCAGCAACATCGACCAAGAAGCCTTTAAGCGTTTTAGCAGGTGGTGTTTCTTTTTTAGTACAAATTTTTACGTGTTTAGTACACGACGTGTACCTTTTTAAAATTTAGCATGCTGCTGTTGTTTTCAACTGCATATAATAAACTGGTTAACTATACACATTGGGACTCATGCCGAAGATCCAAAACTTTTCCCTTTCGCTCGCTACTATGGGACCCCAAGCAGATCTTTGTATACTATCCGCATCACCTTACTAGCGGGAGACGGTACTTGTCCTCCAGAAGTTATGTCAAAAATTTTGAAGGACCACTTTCATTACCTCGAGCAATGTTTGGATATTTACGATAGTAGGAGACTACTAAAAGCTAAAGAAAAGCAGAAGGAGTTGATTTCTGCTGCTGTGCCCCCGAAAACTCAATTTAAACTTGATCCAAAAGAAGTTGGTGATTTGCTTGAATTGGATGATCGAGACGAATGTATCGCACTTATTGACAGTTTCAAAACCGAGTATGAAAATTGGTCTAAATATAGCAGCGAAGAATTACGACATAATATTATTATGCATTATTTTGATGAACGCCTTTCTATTCTTATGATTGTATGTCACTTGTTTCGTCTCGAAAATGATCAAGAATCGATTTACCATGGGTTGGCTAAAGATTTAATAGAAAGATTTCAATGGGACACTTTCTCTACTCGAATATATCAACAATTCAAGAGGCACTTCACTGATGGAATACCTGATTCTATAATAAACTGGGATTCCAAATTGTGGACTATGCAATCGTTAAAAGAACAAAAAGGCTGTCTGGAAATATTATTTCTAATATATTATCTTCATATTCCCTGTCCTCCAAAACGTATATTTGAAATTATCGAACATTTTAATCAGATAAAATTCGGCTTACAACAATCACCTGAACTCATCATTGACTCTTCAGTTAACCCGCATGTGATATATGTAAATCATGTTTGTCAAGTGTTAATGATTGAAATTCTTCGTGAGCCAAACTTCAAAAATGCTATACTGAAAGAAAGTCCCCATGAGGATACTTTACTCCATTCACCGTCAACGATAATGCAAATAAATGAATTAGCTCATGACATGAATCAAGATTATTCATATGGTGTTTTCCTGATTTGCTGGTCTTCTTATTTGCAGCATTTGCAACAATTGTTTGAAGGAGGAAACGTGCCCGCCACTTATGGAGATGTGGAAAGCTTCGCAACTAATTCTGCTTTAGCTCACGGTAATAAAGCTATAGCATTAGAAGTATTTGTTTATATCTTAGAAATAGTCAAAGGTCCCTGTTTTCAATCAGATGATCCGAATTTTGGTGGTTATACAACAGTTATGAGAGAGTTTTTTGTTTCACTTTTAGAAGCAATTAATCCTAATATGTTACCTACTCGGAATTATGAGCTATTTGTGGAGGCTTTTGCAGAACTTCACAAAATTGGTGATGGCTTTGCGACTTTATTATGGATTGAATACCAACAGAATGATCCTTCGAGATTGATACTGGATACTGCTTTGCAACGATTCCCACAAGAGTTTCGTCCTTTTACTCAATTGATGACGGCCCTATCATCCGAAGAAGAATCAGCATTTTCAGTATTTGATTATCTTCAATCAGTTCCCAATTGCACAACAAAATTTACCGCAGATTCAAATCAACATTTGGAAGGATCCGGCATTAATGTGAGATCAATCAACCCGATTCCAGTATTTGATGATGCGTTATACAAAAATTCTTTAGTAATTCCACCAGGTACATCCGGAGTTATATATAAAAAACTAGACGGAAGCGCGATAATTCGATGGAATTTCGAGTATTCTGCATGGCATTTATTTGCTAAAATGTTGCAATCATTTTCCCACTCAAACATCGGAAATTTTACCGATGAACTCTTATCTCGGGATTCAAAAGTTTCAATGATCTCGGACATTTTAGATTTGCTGAAAGTAATACTGAAAAATAACAGCGCTATTCCAGTGTATTTAGCAACCCATTGGAACGCTAGTGGAGATCTTGATTGCTTGCAAATGCTCTATCAACTTTTACTTTACGTGTCGCATGTCACTCCATTACCAATTTATTTGATCGGTGCTTCCATGGAATGCTTTAGTGTCTTTGTTAGGGATCGTCCACGTGAAGCTTATTATTATTTCTCGACTGCAAAATTATTTTCACAAGAACACAGTCTCGAGAGGATCTCTCGTGGCTTTCAACCATATGGTCATTTACAATTTATGTTGATGCATGTGGAGAGTGCTCAAGGAAGATATCCGATTACGATTGCTCTATTAAACTTTACAATAGAAGTAATCTCAAAGGCTCATCAATTCCCGACGCAATATAATCCAGAATTTGAAAAATTGCAAAGCGAGATTCTTTCTTCTTGTTTATCGTATATCACCAGTCTAATATTCATGTCTTATGATAATTGGCGGTATGTGAATATTGAAGATAGATTCCTTATAGGGTCTAAAATTTACGAAATATTTAACAGAGTATTGGTGCGCTCTGCGTATCCCAACGAAATACCGAAATTCGACGATCCTATGTTGGACTATGCTAGAAATCCCATGAGTTCTATTCAACAGGAATTGGTGTTTAAATTTTTATTCGATGGAGGATTCCACCAAATTTCTCCACTATTATTGATAATCCAACGTGGAAATGAATTTATTCGGCAATATGAGAAAGCAAATGCAATTCGAATAGCGGATCAAGTCAAAAAAACGCTGGAATTGGCATTAACTTTCTTGTCACGTTTATTGAGATTAAGAAAGATTATGAATGGTTCAGTTTCATTACTTGAGCATAGCTTGTTGGGAAAAAATGGAGGAGTTAAAGACAGCCATGGATTTTTATACATAATTGCAACATACGTCAATTATTCTTATAAAATAGAGGTGCCAACCATTGCCACAGACATATTAATATTGCTTGTTTGTGCGGCAGCTGAATTGCGCCCACAATTGCCGTCTTTATGTGGTTACTTTGGCAATAAGCGCGAGACCAAAAATCTCGAAGACTCGTTTATTCATCATCTTAAAAATCAAGATTTTCCTCAAATACAATTAGCGATTCTAAATTTTTTAACGGTTTCTGCGGATTATCGCTCTGGATTATTCATTGATAATAGTGAAGTTCTCGTTGAATCGTTAGATTTAAAGGGGAAGGGGAAAGATAACAAGAACACTGCCACGCCAACGAAATCAATCATAAAAATAGCTCTCGACATGCTTAATGATTGGGAAAAGATTCGACAAAAAACACCAACTGTGCTTTTAGCTTTATTAAGGTTAATAAACGCCATCTGGAAAAATGGATTATATTATGAAGAATTATGGCAAAGATTGCGAAAAGACAATCAACTTTGGTCTAACCTCTCTGCAATATTGTTTGCAAATCTTGAAACAATTCCCGAAAATTGGAATGGATTCTATGCAACTGCTGATCGATTCATTAGCAATACAAACGAGAGTGTTATTGAAGTATATGTGAATATCTGCATTAAAGCCTATGTATTGAATATTATAAGTCACGAGGATAACCAAAGCTTTCAAATTTCGAATAGCGAAAATGAAATTGACAGAGGGAAAAATGTAAAAGATGTTTTAGCGTCATCAACTGGTCTCCAGCTAATTCTAGATGACATGAAAAGCTATGACAGGTTATTTGAATGGCTAAAAGAATTCACACAGATTGATTACAATCCAAGCTTTGATCAACGTTGTCTAGAATTGAAAGAGATTATTCCAACTTTTAACTTTGAGGAGCTGCGAGTATTGAATTGGAATGAAGATTATGATATTCGTAATTATGGCGACAGCTATCTTTACGATATAGCTGCAACCTACAAATTAGCATCTGTAATGGGCGTAGATGAAAATTATATGATTGATATAATGACGCGTCTATGTCAAAGCAGTCATAGTTGGTCGCGAACAGATGCACAAGTGGTTCTTTTTCGCTCTTTTAAAGGATTCATTGAGGTGTTGTCTAGCACATTGGGCAAAATGTTTTGGGAGTCGAAAAGCAAAAAAGATGTGAGATGGGATGCTTTATTATATATATCTGGCTTAATAGCGGATGAAAAACGGATCGGTAGTGTGATAAGAATAATTCGAAATGATATGGCCACTTTACTATTAACATTACTTGAACAGACACCAGTTGCCAATCAACCCAACGAAAGTACATTGTATGGAAAGTTGGTGTTAAAATTGTATAAGGCTATCACGAATGATGTCGATTCAATCGAAGATTCAATAAAAGGCAAAGTTCAGCCTGCATTTCATAAACCTTTCCTGAACTCTATGTTGTTATCATTGCGTGGAATTGTTGATGGAATGGATATCTCATTAAGTAAAAATCACGATATCTTTTGGAAATTCAGAGACACTTGTCATCGACTTCTCGCGCGAATTTGCACAATCCTAAATAAATACCCGTTGAAAGAGATGGAAGATGAAGATATTGCTACATTAATAGCAATAATTGAAAAAATACTTAATCCAAAATGCATCTCTGATAATCATATATGGGTGCCAATTCTCGAGCAATGTAACATCATTCCCCTACTGCTCGATATATTCACCCACTCGATCTCGATTCCTCGTAAAGACCGTCCTTCTTACGCAACAAACGCAATGGATCTCATATTATTACTTAACAAGTATCCACTTGCTGCTAATAAATTAGAAACGCACGGGATAATTCCAATATTTTTCAATAATTATTTATCGGTTGATTTACGTGAAGGACAATTACGTCCAAATATTTCGGATGATAAGCATGAGATTTGGTGCTTTATGTTGGCTGTAACCACCAGATTACTATGCACTATTGGAAGCAAAAATGAAAAATTCATACAGAACGTATTAGGATTCATCACTTTATACGGGAAGCAAATACAAAATGCATTAGCTTGCGAATCACCTATTACTATAGGATTACTAGAGGAAATAGAACGGACAACAATGTTATTATATGAATTATCACTGTATATAACACCAGAAAACTTTATTGACGAAGTCGCTATATATTATGAAGCCTTATTAAAATTATTATCAAAGATCAACTATTTATTCACTCATCCTAAAACTGCATCAAAAGTCACAGTACCGACTACAAGACAAGAAAAACAATTATCAACTCAAAATTTCCCTAAAGAGATCCAGTCAGCTCTTGCGACTATAATATCCAGCGCCGAAGCGAAAGACATGAATAAATTCTTGCATTGTGCACAACAAAAATTTTTGACAATTGCGAGGAATATTCTCGTGACATGTGTTGACTTGACTAAAGCCGAGGATATTCTCGCCAATTCACCTTCGGCCGCTCCTGATTCATTGCTCACCTTTGATGCATCGTCAAAAGTGGGTGAGAAAATACCAGCCACTATTCAGACTTTGATAGAGTTATCTAGTTATGGATTTACTATGCTGAAATTCTGGGAGCAATGCTTAACGACCATTACAGATAATGAAAATGTCGAAGATTTGGCGTTATGGCAAATTACATGGAATAAAGTACCAATGTTTCTAGAAACTACTTTTGTATTGACTCTAACACAGTTGGCTTTGGTTATATATACGACACGTGATGACAATGTCATACAAGATGTAATTCTTCAGGCAGCAGAAGTGAAAAGGCATTTGACTCGGGTTGCGGATATCGTTAAAGTATTAAATGAAAAAGGGAAGGATGCTACTAAAGCAGAATATCAATTGTGGTCACTTTCCGTGGTATTACGTGGATTAAACCGTTTCATGGATTCTCAGTTACCTAATGATCGTATGTCAATTGGTTAAGTTTTAGTCTAGATAGTATTGTTATTATTTTAATTCAAGAGTCTTCGATAGATTTACTTCACTCGGGAGGATTTTGGTAGAAATTTGGTTACAAAATACATTTTTGGGCTACAGATTAAAGATATGCCAATAAGATGAATTTTTAAGCAATTAAATATAATTAAAAATTCATTATATCATTAGGCCATATAAGTTGATTTTTTGTTTAGCATAACGATAGAATTGCAATGCTTTATATCATAATGGTTAACCTATGTCATATCATTGGCTTGGTCTGACCTTATCACATTGTTCAATTTTCCTCAATTTCCATCGAACACTGCATATCAAGCACAATGCTTGCTAAATCAATCAATAATTTAGCACTTTGTCTAAACTCCTTTTTTATATTTTTCTCATCGGCAATCCATTGAGCTAATTCCTCCAACTTTTGACGGACTAAATCTTCAACAAATAATTTCTTTTCATCATCACGCAACCCATTATATATTTTCTCTGAGATGCGCAAGGATTTCGATTGAATATAGCTTTGAAGCAAAGTCATCAACATAAAAGTGTGACGCCATATCGCGGTCGATCGACATACTCTTCTATAATAAGGTTTTGATTGAAAGTAGACGTGGATAATTTTCGAGAGATCAAGTGACGCGTTACAAAGATATCGATGTTCGCGTTGTACCTCTCCAAGATTGGTGTCTTGGAGTGCATGATCTAGTAATTTACATTTGAAAGTGGTGCAGGGAAGTGTCTTGAAAAAATATTTAAAGGAAACCTCAATCAGTAGAAAAATTAAGTTTTTTTTTATTAACATTTGTCTTTTATCAAAGAGAAAAATTACTTGAAAAAAGACCCGAAAATTATCTGGATTTAACTTGATAATCAGAAGATAGAGTTCACGCTTCAAAGTATCGGTGCATATAATACCTGCATAAGAAAGGAGAATAATCTATTCAAACAATAAATAAAACTTGGTAGATAAAATTAATTTATTGAATGATTATTCGAAATACCTGTTCAAGTAGTCGTTGTGCTACACGAGCGGTTCTTATAGGAATGATATCATCCGTGGAAAACGGAGCGAGCAAAGCTTCAATAGGATATTTGATATTGGTGCGTACCTTTCCGTAATTTTTGGTGAATAATTGTATAAGTAGCGAAGATTCCAAATTATCTACATTAAATAAACATAAAATATGGGTATAAAAAATAAAACTATATTCTAAGCGTTTATATATATATATACTTTCCTTTTTTACTTATAATATCCATCTCGTGCACATTAGTAAGATGATTTAATAACATCAATGTTCGATCCACCTTTATTATTATAATTTAATTTAACGTTTTTGTCAAATTTAGAAGAATTCACTTATATGTATTCAAATTTACCTTTGATGATGAGTCGTCGTTTAATGTTAACATGAGCTTCGTTTCAAAAAATTTCCAGAAATCCAAAGGATACTCGCACCATATGAATCCTTGTTCGATATTAGCTTTATCAATTTTCCAGACACTCTGAAATGGTTCGGCACCACAAGTTTGCAATATATGCTGCAAAAGTTTGTAGGCACGAATAACGAGTGAATTTTCCACTGTCTCATCTACAATTATACCCATAATTTGACGTATATGATATCTATCGGATTAAGTATAAAAAATTATAGGAATATATGGGAAAAACAATTATTATAAATAAAGTTGACAGCAAATTTTACACTGGAAGATATTCTCGCTCGTTTTGAAAGGATTCCATCAAGTCCAGTGATCCATTATCTATTATAAATTTAAATATTATAAGAATAATTGTCATAATTTATCAAACAAAAATATAAACACTTACAATGTTCCTCGTCTAAACAATTCTCGATTAAATCTTGATAAGTTTTAGGTATTAATCTGGGTTTTATTGCAAAAGACTGTGGATAATGTTTGCTTTTCAAATTGTACAGTTTTTCATGTAGCTCTATCAATTCTGGTCGAGAACTCAAAATTTCTTCGGCACTTTTCCATTTTTTATCCGGGTCGTCACCAGATACTAGAAGATAAATGAGACCACGCTAAAAGAATTCAAAAAAAAGTCAAATTTTATATTAACATTTTGAACATAATCCAGATAGGAAACACACTTCTGGGCAAAATTGACTTTGAACAATATGCGCCATTTATCAAAAATAAAAAACGCGCCTACGAACTATTTGTGTGTCGCGCGATTAGATATTATCAGAGCCTCTTTTTATCCAATAGATGTTGAATAGATAAGAATTTTTTGGGTCTAAAAAAAACGCTTACGCAATTCACATTTTTAGCCACCTCGTCGTTTTCGTAAACTAAAATTGCATGCACTTCGAGGGCAAGTCAGATAATGGTACAAAAGAAAAATTCAAACAATACTCCTACACGTAGATCTACACGAAATAAAAAGAGTGCCGAAGAAGAACCAGAGCAACCCAAACCCACTAAGCGCATAACAAGGTCACTTGCCAAAAAGCTAGAAGAAGAAACTAAGAGCAAGCTCACTGAAAGTAGCGAAGACGTCGAAATGGCGGTAGAAAATCAAGATGTTGAAATGGCACAAGCCGAAGAAATTGACGAGGATGCTAAGAAAGCTGGAGAAGCTGATGCTTTAGTACTCGCCGGTATTTATAATCACTTTTGGAATTGGGTTTTTATTCATTTGTTTACTTAATAATTTTCAAATTATTCTCTAATTTACATTTTAGATATTAAACAAAATTTTATTCTGCTTGAACGTGCTGTTGCTACTATTGAGTCACGCTTCACTACAAGAGTGCTTAGAACTACTGCTTCCATTCGTAAACGTTTGAATGCTAACATTTTGGCGCAAGCAATTAAAGAAGCCTTCCCAAGAGGTCAGCACGAAGTTTTACTTTTTGCTGCTCTCGTTTTTTTGAAGGCTTGATAATTCAATTGAGAGAAAACCAATCAATCGGTTCTCAATAAAAATTAAAATCCGATGATATGATGATATTGCGTTAGAGAATTCTTGAGAAACGCTTTTCCGAAGCGATTTGCCGGAAGACATGATGAAAGCTTACACCCAATGTGACCTTTGAACTTTGATAAACAGATTCTGTCGACAAGGCCAGACTCTTGAGCTATTTAAGTAAAGTAAGTACGATTATAAAGTGTATTATCGAAGTCGATATACGTAATACTAAATTATTGACTAATATAGGACTCTGGTATCATGGAAATCGATTCCGAAGAGAATTCACGTGAAGCTTCCTCTATTTTGCCCGAAATCGATTTGTACCTTCATCTCCTGGTGTTAATTTATTTGTTAGATAAACAAGAATTTGACAAGGTAATCATCAAAATAGCATATATTTTTTTGTTTTTACAATTATGTGATGAGAAACTCACAATTTTTTATATTGGAATAATTAATTCAGGGTATTCTGCTCGCAAACGAAACGATTAACAAAATTAAACATACAAATCGCCGAACCTTGGACCAATTGTCTGCCCGCATTTACTTTTTCTATGCGCGATTCTACGAGCTTACCGGAAATTTGGCTGAAATTAGACCGTATGGATTATCATTTGTTACTATTATATTTTTACAATAGTAATGTAAAGTTATTTTTTTTATTTTAGAGTATTGTTGGCAGCTCAAAGAACGGCGACCTTGCGTCATGATGACGATTCTCAAGTAAATTTATTGTGTTCTTAATTTCTTTAAAGTTAATACGTATACTTTGAATTCACTGTATTAATGAACCCTTAAAAATAGGCTACTTTGATTAATTTATTACTGAGAAATTATTTCCATTATAATCTCTATGATCAAGCTGATAAACTTGTAAGCAAAGCAACTTTTCCCGAGACAGCCGGTAACAATCAACAAGCCCGATACATGTACTATCTAGGTAAGTTGTTAGAATATTCGATGTATCCTATAGATAAAAGAATTACTATTTGATTTTCTATTATATTTTTACGAATAGGTCGAATTAAAGCAATTCAACTAGATTATACTTTGTCACATACACATTTGTTGCAAGCCATCCGCAAAGCGCCCCAGAATACCGCTACTGCTGGATTTCAGCAAGCTGTATGAAACCCCCCCTTTTTTTTTACCAATTCGAGCATACATGATAATTAACAATTTCTTAATTACAATCATATTAGGTTTACAAACTTTCTATCATTGTTCAACTTTTGATGGGTGAAATACCTGAACGATCTATATTTAGACAGCCTGTTTTAAGAAAACCTTTGATTCCGTACTTGCACATTGTTCAAGGTATAATTCATAAATTTTTTTGCACTCGGAATTCAAAATTAATAGCATTTAATTTTGCATAGTTGTCCGAATTGGGGATCTGTCAAACTTCCAGGAAACTCTTGGAAAATATGGAGATGTATTCCGTAATGACAAAACCTATACTTTAATTTTAAGGTCACTTGAAAAATTCTTCATTTCTCGGTGACTTTACATACTACTAATACAAAATAAGTATTATATTTTTACAGGCTGCGCCACAATGTAATCAAAACTGGAATCAGAATGATAAGTCTATCTTATTCACGGATACCTCTGCGTGATATTTGTTTGAAATTGCATCTCGATAGTGAAGAAGATGCCGAGTATATCGTAGCCAAGGCTATCCGTGATGGTGTAATTGATGCTACCATCGACCACGAAAAAGGATTTATGAAATCCAAGGTAAGCTATATTGTATAAATAGACTCGATTAAATTTAATTAATAAATCTAATTATATTTCAACTGATAGGAAATTGTTGATATTTATTCTACGAATGAACCTCAAATTGCGTTTCATCAACGTATTAGTTTCTGCTTGAATCTTCACAATGAGTCTGTCAAGGTAAATTTTATCTAAATGGTTGATGGCATATAAATTAAATTACTTTTAATAATCAACATTAAATATAGGCGATGAGATTTCCACTTAATGCGCACAGAAAAGAGTTGGCGTCTGCCGAGGCTCTTCGTGAAAGGGAGCGAGAGCTTGCCCAGGAAATTGCTGAAGGAGAAATGGACGAAGATGATGATGTTGCTGACTTTTAACAGATAATCTTAAATTAACATGAATTATAAACATGCTTTAGAATATTAAATATTTTGGTAATAAATATATTATAATGCAAAAATAATGTTTTTAATGTGCGTTATGAAATCACGTTATTCGATTTTCCAATAAAATTACATCATCAAAAAAGTAAGCGAAAAAATTTTCTTAAGCAAATCTTCGTATTACCGGCTTTCACTTATTGGTAAAGAAGAAATAAATAAATGGGTCGTGTTATCAGATCACAAAGGAAAGGTCCCGGTGGCATTTTCAAATCTCACACTCGTCTTCGAAAAGGCGCAGCAAAATTAAGACCTCTAGACTACGCGGAACGAAATGGCTACATTCGGGGCATCGTCAAAGAAATTCTGCACGACCCTGGTCGGGGTGCACCCCTTGCAAAAGTTCAATTTCGTGACCCATATCGGTATGTCGTTAGCTATTCATGTCTCAATTTTTCTTTAGTCTGAGTTAGTAAGATACTATTATACTGCACCTTGCGTTTATCAGAGATTCTTGATCTTGTTCGTATTTAACAAAGCAATATATATATTTAATACTTGATTTTATTTTATAATTTATGCTATATTTTCTCTATTTCAGTTATAAACTCCGAGTCCAAACTTTCATTGCAACAGAGGGATTACACACGGGACAGTTTGTATATTGTGGGAAAAAGGCGGCCTTGACCGTTGGAAATGTCTTGCCACTTGGCTCCATGCCTGAGGGTACAATCATTTGCAATGTTGAGGAAAAAATTGGTGATCGTGGTGCGTTGGCTCGTGCCTCAGGGAATTACTCTACAATTATCGGTCATAATCACGAAGAAGGAAAGACTCGCATCAAGCTTCCATCTGGTGCGAAAAAAGTTCTTAATTCTAATGCACGTGCTACAATCGGTATTGTAGCGGGAGGTGGACGTATTGATAAGCCTTTGCTTAAAGCTGGTCGTGCTTATCATAAATACAAAGTAAAAAGAAATTGTTGGCCAAAAACTCGTGGTGTTGCAATGAATCCTGTTGACCATCCTCACGGTGGTGGTAATCATCAACATATTGGTCACGCATCAACCGTTTCTCGGGAAAGTGCACCTGGTCAAAAGGTTAGTCGTCATTATTTATGGTGGAATAATGATCAAGGTTGATGACAATTTATCATTAAAAATTTTTTATTTTCTTTAGGTTGGTTTGATAGCTGCTAGGAGAAGTGGTTTACTTCGTGGTACAAATAAAGTCAAAGGTTAAAGAAAGCAATGATATCATCAGCTGACAATTATATAAAGCTTTTTTTATTATATTATAATTGTATGTTTTTTGTATAATGATTAAGATTCTATCTATATATTTAAGTATATGTCGATTTCTTGGAATAACATCAGAGAACAATTCTACATATAATTAAAATACCAATTCGTGTAATTCCTTCTCGGTAGTATATACTTGAGCCTATGATAATGATCGAAAAAATGTTAATACATATAAATGTTACCAATTAAACAACAAAAAGGATACAAACTTTAAGATCTCGCAACTGTTTTGACACTTTTTCAACGTGTTCACCAGTTTCTTGAGCTAAAAATAAAATAATTGATTATTTTTTCTTTTAATTCAAATTATAAAATTTCGCATACCTAAAGTTAATAAATGCAACTCTCGATCGTCAATTGGGGCGTATTTTAATATCTGTTTCTCTAATCCTTTAAGCTCTTTTCTCAACGTAGAAATATCGTTGGTAAATCCTTCCAAATCAAAATTGCGTCGTTTTCTTAAAGCATTATAACTAATGGTAATTGTAATAGTAGTGGTAGTAGTATTTAGACAATAAACGAGTTAATCTCAAACATTACTAATAAAATACACGATGTTTTATAAATTAGGAGCATTGTTTTACTTTGCCGTCAAAGTATCAATCTTTTTTAAAAGATTTGCAATCTTTCGGCGGAATCCAGTCTCTGAATTTTTTTGTTCAGTCTTAAATTGAAAAAGATATATTATTTAATGTCGTGTTGATAAGAAGAATTAGGGCAGAATTACCTTTAATATTCTTAATTCGTCTTCATAATTGCCAATTTGTCTTCTTAGTTCAGCCATTATAGTTTCGTTTTTTTTGGCAATTCTATTTTCAACAGTCTTCAAATTAAAATTAATATACAATAAATTAGTAAGTATATTGCCAAATCTAGTCAATTCACAAATTAATAAATAAATCATACCCTTTCCATTGTATCATTCCGTTCTTTTTCTTCGTTGAGCTGCGCTTTTAAATTAAGAAGTTTTTGCAATAAATTAGCGTGTTCTTCGTGCATTTTCTGCTCTTCTGTGCGCTGATCTTTTTTGATCTGAAGTAATTCTGAGTATTTTTAATCAATTGCATTTTTATTAAATGATCAATATAATATTTAAGAATATTTTTACATGGCAAGGATAAACATTACCTTTGGTATTTTCACGGCAAAACAAATCCAGTCTTTGAACTTTAGCCGTCAATTCTTGAATTTTATTAGAATCATATTGACGACGCAATTTTTCTTCTTCGATCAAAGCTTGACGATCCGTTTCAAGACTGGCTATAATTTCTTCATACCCATGCCTCTTGGAGGGCATACATAATTAGCAAATATTAGAAAAATGATAAATAATTGATAGAATATTCCCAAAATTGACAAACAAACCTGCTCTTCGAGTTGAGTATTTAATGTTTTTATTCTCAAATTTAAGCACTCGATTTGATCATCTCGAGGATCAGGATGACTAGAATTCTGAAATTTAAAGAATGGTCAACCATCACGAAAGAATCGCTTTTATTTTCTAATAAAGATGAAGAAAAGTAACTTTATCATGTTGATTGTCAATTTCATCGTCCGATTGTTCGGGCGCTGTTATCGATAATAAATATTGAATTTTTCTACGATCTTGGACCTCTTGAACTGTTGTTTTATTATTAATATATTGAATATTGACAAAGATCCTTATGCACACCACTCAGTTAATAATAATAATAATTATATAAAACCTCGTAGTTCGTCGTTTTCCGCGACTACTCGCATTAAACGACGCCTTTCTTGTGTTAAATACAACTGTGTCTCACTAAGCGTTTTCTGCAATTCTGAAATTTCGTGGGTTCTTTGATTTAATTCCCACGTCAACTTGTGATGTTCCTCATGAGACACTTTGCATTTATTAAAGGAATCAATTGCATTCTGGTATTCCTGCTCCGCTTTTTCTTATAAAGTTCAACCAGTTCAATGATTGAATTACAATCAGAAATATTCGGAAAGGTGATTTATTAATAGAATAAAAGACACACCAACTCTTTCCTTGTAATAACGTAACAATTCTTCAGACAAAGGTAACTTGTTTATTTCTGTCTTGGTGTCTACTAGCATAATTCTCACGTCGCAATCTACGATATATCTATATATAAACGCGCGTATTATATATAAACACCAAATTTTAGATTTCTGCTATTTTAGTAAAACTATTACTAACGCTAATAACAATTATTAAAAAATTAAATCTCCGTATTAACTCTAAAAAATAAACATTGTCATGTTTATTCATACAAGAAATGAAATATAGTAAGTGAAAAAATAAATTGGATGGGTGACGATGCTGATTATGATAATCGATATAATAAATATAATCAAAATTTACATCTATTATAAAGACTTAATTAAATAAAATAGAAATAAAAGAAGGAATCAAGGAAGAAGAATTTACTTCAAACCAAAGTTGGATTATTCTAAATTGACGCGTATATTGATATTTGGATAAGGCTACCTTCCATATATTAATCACCGACCTAATGGCGGTGATTCTTTTGGAACTTGTTTGTGAGTTCGTTCGGTCAACTCGATTTTCCTAATTATTAAGATTTAAAAAAAAATTATTTCAATATTCATAAGAAAAATCATGAGAAATTTATATAATAATACTCACGCATACCAAGCACCTGAAAAAAAACGAAAATTGAATAAAATTTAAGAAAATGAAATTACAAATCATAATAATTATAAAATTAGATGTTCTACCTCCACATAAAGTTAAAAATATTCCAAGACCATTTGTTGGAGTTATTGTGAGATTGAAAATGACAACTGCCAAAATTATCGATAATACTTGTTTTACATTTCCAGCTACGGTCATTGTCAAAGCTGAGGTCTTTTTATTAGCTGTGAAACTAACGTAATTTAAAAAGAAGGCAATGATACCATTTGTCACCAAAGCAACAACCAATGATGATGTCATTTCTGTTCGACTAAAAGACCGAACTCGATTCAGCTCTCCAGTAACGTAAGCGTAGATTACTGTTTGTACGAATGCTAATGGTGACATTCGTAATAACAAATCCAGAGGATGAAGTTTAAGCCGACCCACTTGAACCCGATTTGTGACAACAGTTTTTAATGCTGCTAATATTGTTCCAAGAACTGTTAGGAAAAATCCTGATATATAGATAGATAGATAGATAGATAGATAGATAGAATAACAAATAAATACAATTCACTTAGTAAAAAAAAAAAAGGAACATTAAATTTACTTACCCATCGAGGTAAAATAATAATCTCCCACGGTGGCAAATACAACTCCTAAAACAACCTTTCAAATATTCGTATCCAATTGGTTTTTGTATTGTTAGGTGCTATTTGAGAATCTCTTTCTCCATCCCATTCACTCGTATTAAAACTAATCAACTAACTTTATTCCTCTAATGGAAAATAAATATTTGTTGCTCACCGGCAGCAAGGAAACGTATGTCATTATCGAAAAATGTTTTTTAAGGAAAACAATCGAAAGTATTATTGTGAATATTGGGGTCATCGCACGAACGACCTGATGGAACTAAAGAAATTTATTTATTTATGAAAAGGGATCTTTAAATTAAAATAATTGTTAAAAAATAAAAAAATTTTTCGATTATTCAAATTGATAAAGTAAGTCTTACCGGAACAGTAACTAAATGTCTTTTGATTTCATATATAAATTTTAGTTAACGTTCATTAAGAGTCATGTAGAGAATGGTATTTTTCGTAAATTAACTCATTACAATGATATAGAAGGAAATAAAATAATCACTTACAAAGAAACGTTGCTTATGGCTATATTTATTGTATATAAAACAGAAAAAAGCAACATATGCATACTCTCACGCTCCGTCAAATGTGCAGGTTGAAACAAACCCAGCCAGTAAAATGAATAGGAACCAATGGCGCCGCATAACGCATGCACGCCTGTTAATGTCCAGGGAAAGGGAAAGTCAAATAACTGCATTACTGCTTTATTATATAGGGTTAAGGCAAGATTAAGAAAGAAATACAGTGTGAGCCACACATAGTGATTGTTCATCTGGATTAGGACAAACGAATGGTGCGAAAGTCAGAAAGTATAGATCTGAGGAGTAGAGCTCAGCTTGTGTTGGATGTATTCTATTGGTATTATAATAGAATGGAAATAACAAGGTCTTGAGAGAATTTTGTTGGCGGGATGGTAAGCTCTTCCAGAGAGACTCCTTTCTTGGTGAACGAGACAAAACCAATTGAATTGCGCATACATCATCTCTTTGGATTAGGAAATTATTTTTGTCAAGATGAGCAAATCAAATGTTTGCGTAGTGGATTGGGACTGACTATTAAAATCGATAACTATATATAGAGTCACTACGAGTATCGGTATATATATATATATAGAGCTTATTTTAAGGGATCGTTATACCCACGAACAAGATCAACAATTGTGCATACATATTGCGTAGTCACGAGAGTTTTATAAGATAATATACTCTTTAGAGTTATTATAACGATATACTTAACGTGTCCAAAGCAATAAAAACAATAACGGCATCGTGCTGAGACTCGTTTCATCTTTTTTTTAGTGCTTTGCTGATTATATCATGGAAAATCTTAATAACCTTACGATCTGGGATGTGAAAGATGTATTTAATAAAGTGTAGGAGTAGATGGCAAACAATTAAACTATTGTTTTGAAATCTCGAAATTTATTAAGTTAAAATAGAAACATTATATTATTCAAACTTAAATAGGAAAAATGTAGTAATGAACTACACAGAAATGGAAGCGAAAGTGCGAGAAGCTACTAATAATGAGCCCTGGGGGGCTAGCAGCACATTGATGCAGGAAATAGCCCAAGGAACTTATAATTAGTAAGTATCAGTGCTAAAATTGGGAAAGGATTAAAATGCGAATAATTATTATATGGTGAAATCTGGTGAATTAATTGACATTTAAATATGAATTTTCAGTCAATATTTTAATGAGATAATGCCGACAATTTATAAAAGATTCACAGAAAAAGAAGCACGACAGTGGAGGCAAATTTATAAGGTACCTAGTCAATCATATACAGATCGTGGTTTCTTAATTTTAACTATAAGCATAATCAAGTATACATAATATTTCTTGTAGGCTCTTGTTCTTTTAGAATATTTGGTAAAACATGGATCCGAGAGAGTTGTTGATGATGCTCGTGCACATATGGCTACTGTAAAAATTATGAGGAATTTTGCTTACATTGATGAAAAGAACAAGGACCAAGGGATTAATGGTAAAGAATTCAATATATTAAATTTTTTTATTAATTAGAAATCTTTAACATCAATCATATATTATATACCTACTTTTATAGTTCGAAATCGTGCTAGAGAACTTGCGGAATTGTTGAGTGATGTTGAAAAAATTCGTACAGAACGCAAAAAAGCAAAAGCAAATAGGACAAAGTATACCAGCGTGAGTTCAGATTCTCTTGGCTATGGTGGATTTGGGGGATCTGGTTCTAGGTATGGAGGTTTTAGCGGTGGTGATTCTTTTGGATATAGTAAGTGTTAATGATAATTCAAGAAGTAAAGAATTGCACAAGTAATTATACTAGAATGCAGTTGATTGTTGTTTTTATAAATAGGTGAAGACAGAACACGTTCACGCTATGATGATTATGATGCACAATGGCCGAATGAAAGTAGAATTGATCGAAACTCACCACCTGGTGAAAGACGATCCAGTGGACCAAGATCGAGCCTGAGCATTTCCAAAAAGCAGAATGAGTCATCAATCCCTACTACTACAGCGGTAGAAAATACTGAAGTTAATTTATTTGATTTTGAGACGCCACCTATTGTAGAGTCCAAACGTGATTCAATTGGCAATGAATTCTCCCATGTGAAATCTATTGGTAATTAATTTTTTATTATCTCTAGATCGAGAATTTTTCTTTATTAAATTTACATCTAATATTTTATATCTGACATGTGGTAATTTTTTCATTATTAAGATGATGATTTTCAAGATTTTCAAAGTGCTCCAGTATTAGCACCACCCTCTCAACGACCATCGATAACAATACAACATCAACAGCTGCATTCTGACTTAACGAATGCCAAATCACATATGTCTCAAGATAACCCCGTTGCACCATCCCTTAAACAATCCGTTGAGGTAAACAACAATTTAATCGATGATTTGCTCGGTCCTGTTTCTTCGGTCTCTTCTCCTCCCGTGGCAACTACATCAGCGTCTACACTGTTTTCATCTGGATTAAATACAAATATGAACATCAACACCAATATTCAAAATAATAATAATAATAGTCAACAAACTTCCACTGTCAATGTCTTGCCAATCACACCTACGACTCCAAATCTGGTGCGTTAAATATTTATCTTTGATCTTTCATTCAAATGTAAATTTATCAATTTTTATAATGATCGTAGATCTCCCATAACCAATCTTTCGTGAGTTCGAAATCGAGCGATCTTTGGGCAGAAGCTTCCAATCTTGTCAGCTTGGATTCTTTGGGAATGAGAAAAGATTCAGGATCAACTAATAGACCCTCAGTTGCGCCGTCAATGAATTCTATGGTTCAAGCTAACAACAGTTCTGCCTGGGCCGCTAAGGGAACTTGGAACAGTGGCCCACAAACTTCACAAATAACATCCCAAAAATCACAAGATCCTTTTGATTTGCTTATGTAAAATATTCTTATCTAAAATAAAAAAATTGCACAAATCTTATCATGAGCTTTTTATTATTAGCAAAATAGAGAAAATTAACAGCAATATCGCTTAGCTTGAAAAAAGAAAGCATGTGCAAATAGAACTTTTAGTTATAAATGATAAATTTAAAAATAATATAAATTAGTCTCGCGCGCTAAATAATAGTCTTTTGTAGACTAAAATTTTTGGCAAAACTTTAATAATAAACATTTCAATACCAACGCTAACCCATTATACATTTTGGATTATGTGCTAGACTTGATCAAGATTCTTCTCGTTTTGATGCAACAATAAATTGATTATTTTGTTAAAAAATTTAGAGATTTATATTAACTTTCTCAAATATTTTGCGTGACCAGTCGTTACGTTAACATCGTCCAAATCTCTTGTAGTGTGCTAAAAATCGATGAGCATTTCGTAATTCTTCAGCATCTACGTTTAGCTGGAAAATCAAAGCTTTAAAAATAATAAAAAAAATACACAAAAATAAATACTCCGAATAATCACTTCGTGATATATTCCGGATTAATAGATTCATATAATGTGGCCAATCAGGACACTGCACTCTTTGTAGAATTATCGTCACAACCGGAGCATCCAAGAGTATATTCATAACGTTCTCTTGTGAATTCACAGTCTCACAGGGTCCTGCTAATGCCCCCCCCCCCCGCATTCTTGCGTCCTGAGGACTTTGTTAGATCAATGAAAAATATTTGTTTAATATCATTCAAAATCATATAATAAAAAATTAGTTTATCCTAGACTAAACCATACAGTAAATCATTCGCATGTATTTTCAATTCCACATGTTCAAGATCCAAGCAGTTAGCAATGCCAATTTACTTGCAAAGCACATTTAAAATAAAGATTACTTTTCCTCTTTCTGATCTTATGAATCTGGAAATGAATAAAGCATTAATCGAACTGAATGAGAATATAACTTAAGATGACATCTTGACTAGTTGCAGCTTGTGATGATAATTGTGACTCACATTACTAAATAATATTGAACTGTGAATTAAATTCTTGATTACATTTATGAACTAAAGAATGTGTGTAAGTGTTTATGATTGGGAAATATGAGCAATAATACAATGAAATTGGTGTTTATATTGAATATAAATATGTAATCATAATCATTTTAATGCAGTTGATAGTTTTAAAATATTTGATAATTTTAATGTATTTAGTATTTGATAATTTAAATGTATTTAATATATTGATAATTTTAATGTATTAATAGTTTTATTATATTGATAGTTTTAATGTATTGATAGTTTTATTAAGTAAATAAAATGATAAAGAAAAAATATAAGTGTATTTATAACTAAATTTTTAATATATTGAACATAATCTTTTGTCAAATTTGAAAAGATAATTTGTTTACATATATTATTATTATATGATATTAGAAAATTAATAATTAATTCTTGAATATAATCTCTTACCAAATTCTTGTTTACATATATTATTATCAGATGATATTGTTACTGTTTTACTTGAATTTCAAATATATTATATCTTCTTATATGCTCAACACGTGTTTCAAGTCAGGTGAAAGAGATAAGATAAATAACTAAAGATGATGACATGTATTCATTTAAATTACTAGTCAGCTAAAAAGTGACTTAAGAAATCTTCTTATAATTTAATGTGTATTTAATAATTACGATGATAGTTTATAATATTATAAATTCAATTTATTAAATCATTTTAATAATATGACATCACAATGTATGAGAGCTCCAAACTATAAATATGACATTACAAACATATAAGAGGTCATCAACATAACATTACAATGTATAAGAGATATAAACATAATATCACAAGAATATGAGAGGTTATAACAAAACTAAAATAAAACTTTAAAACTTAAATAATGAAATTATAAAAGAAATATTTAAATATTTTAAATGTATTATTTTCAAAAGAGTATTATTACCAAAGAAATTTATTTTTGAGCCAATAATATTTAGAACTTAACTAATTAACTAATTGACTTGTTAATT